GAAGCTCGATTAAAGTAGTCAGTAATCCCGATGCAAAGTATCAACTGCCATCCGCGAAACAATGCGGAAGCTCGATTAAAGTAGTCAGTAATCCCGATGCAAAGTATCAACTGCCATCCGCGAAACAATGCGGAAGCTCGATTAAAGTAGTCAGTAATCCCGATGCAAAGTATCAACTGCCATCCGCGAAACAATGCGGAAGCTCGATTAAAGTAGTCAGTAATAGAATTAGAACATCTGCATGAAATTCGAGAAGGGTGAACGCGGACGTATCTATGCAGACTCTAGAAGGACTCGGTACCCTTAGGTATAGCACTTGCACGGTACTGACTTCATCTTCTAGCAAGACAGTAACCAGAACCTCGCTCCTCTACTACCATGCAACAATGCTTTCGAGACGCATGTCCTGAGCGTCATGGAAACTCTACAGGAAAGGGTGAAGAAACTTCGGCAGAAGAAAGAGCCGAAATGTGGAATTTGGTCAAATTTGAAGGAAAGTAGGGGAAATCGTATCAGTAGACAGTGAACTCGTTAACTGATTTCTGTTCATGTTTCAGTGACTTTATAAGGTAATTGACAAAGTAATACAACTGCTCAATGTTTGTATTGTAGGCTCGACAGTCTGTTGGATACTCGAGAATTTCCAGTAAAATAATTTTTCATGCCACTACAGTATTGCTGGGTAACCTCATCAAGCTGCACATGGTGGTGAGACATAGTAAACACAGGAGGTTTTCACCCGATTCGTCCACTGAGGGCTTATTTGACCATCGAAAACCATATGTGCGATAGCGGATACATATTTTGAAGGCGATTGACATTATCAACATTTTGGCTCACCCTACAACTCATAATTTCAGTGACAGGAAAAGAAACTGCAAAAGGAAAAGATGCAGGTATGCACTTTTAGCATCTCTTTAATGGAAATTAGAAAAGCCAGTGGCGCAGAACAGCACATGTGAAATGGAAGACGCAATTAATTGACAAAAAAATTGATCTGTTATGTTGGACATAGTGAAGCGGGGTAAGGTAAGAGTGAGTACATCTCTCCAAGGAGAAATGAAAGAGAGCGAATAACTTGCTTGCTCACCTCTGTGCTAAGGCAATAGAGACAGAGCATGAAAGAAAGAGAATAGGCGAAAGAGCACAACGGATGAGAGCGCGCATACATCAACATGCTATATACGAGAATAAATATTAGGTCGGTCCATAAGTCTTGCAACAAACTACATTTAATGCTATAGAATTTTAGGGAGAACTCCTGAAAATCCGCAACATATTTCCTGACGTAGCATCAACCTTTGCAATTTCAGCCAACGGTCCAGCTCGTTGTCTGCTTACTTATTATGGATATTACACCGATTTCGCGAGAGGGCTCTCGATGCCCCGAATTTTTACGAGTACCGCTTAGAATGTT